AAACGAGGCAGCGAGGGCTGCAATGCGTGCGGCGGCCGAGGCACGGAGCTCGTCCATCTGGGTGCGTGCCGCGGCGAGGAGCTCGCGGAGGCCCTCGCGCTGGGCGGTGATGTCGGCGACGGCGGCCTCGGAGGCGGTGAGCTCAGAGCAGAGCTCGCGGATGGTGACCGTGTTGGCCTCGAGACGGCGGAGGAGGACGTAGGCAAGCGGGTCAAGCGTGGTGTTCTCGAGGTGGAGGACGTCGACCCAGGGCTTGAGATCGTCGGCGGCGGAGGCTGCGACGAGAGTCTCGAGGTGGGTCGCCTTCTCTGAGTACTCGGCGAGGAGAGTGGTGAGCTTGTTCGTCTTGCGGCGGAGGCGGTCGATAGCGAGCTTGTCCTGCAGCGAACCGCCCGACTCGGTCTCGAGGACAAGGGCCTCGTACTTGGCCTTCCACATTTCGGGCTCGTCCTCGAGCTTGTGCATCTTGGCGCGGAGGGCGTCGATTTCGGCACGGAGCTCCTCGCAGCTCCGGCACGAGCCGTCAGGCCGAAGATTGTGGGTGAGCTTCTTGAGGTGGGCAACTTGCGTGTGAAGGGCCTTGTTCGACTTGGCCGACTTTTCAGCGGCGTCGAGGAGGGCGTCGACGGCGTGGCGCGGCTGGACGGTGCCGATGAGGGCAGCGATGCGAGCGAGCTGATCGGGTGAGAGGTGGGTGTGCGAGGCTGAGGCTTTGCCCTTGCTGCTGCTGGTCTCGCTTGAGGACAGCGTTCCGTGGCTGGGGCGCTTGGAGGGGCGCGAGCGGCGGGCAGAGTCGCGGGCACGCTTCCAGTTGTCGGACGCCGTTTTCTTGCGGTGGGCGGTGGAAACGGCGCGATGGCCGGCCGGCGACGAGCCGCCATGAGACGAGGAGGCTGCGGCGCTCTTGCGCTTGCGAGATGCTGCGAGGGCGGCGTTGCGGCGGCGGGCGAGCTCCGCGGCCCACTCGGCCTTTTCGTCCTGTTGGGTGAGTGTGAGCGAGCGCTTGCGTGACTCGCGGATGCGGGCCTTTTTGAGCTTAAGCGACTCTTCCTCACGAAGACGCTTTGCGCGCTCCTCCTCGGCAGCCTTGGCCTCCTCTTTCAGTTTGCGCTGATGGTCCTTGATGCGCTTGGCCTTGCGAGCGAGGCGGGCGGTACGCTCGTCGGCAAGGCGCTTCTCCTTCGCCTGAATGTCGCGGAGCATGTCCGACAGCGGCTTGGAGGTGTCGGCCATAGAGAGCATGAGGCGGCGCGAGGTGAGGGCGGCCATGCGCTCCTGGACCTCCTTCTCGGAGAGGGCACCGCCAAAGGCGGCACGCAGAATGGCGTTGTCCTCTTGCAACACATCAAGGTTGCTCATGCGTGCCCGGGCCGCAAGCGACGAGGCCTGGTCGACAAGAACAGTCTCAATGTCTGTGCCCATCTCGATGTGGACGTCGATCATGAGCTCGTTCTCGGCCTCGAGCTGGGCCTCGAGCGAGTCCTTCTTCCCCACAGTGGTCACTTCAGACTTGCTCGGGCTCGGAGAGAAATTGCCTCCGCCACCAGTCTCGTTAGCGCTGGATAAGGCACGGAGGCCCGACGGGCCGCGAGCCTTGCGCCGCATGGGCACGGCGCCGCCCTTGACAGCGAGGGCGCCCATGGACGAGACTGATCGCAGCATGTCGTCGCCATCGCGGTCCATATCTGACGTCGCTACCAGCGAGCCAACCGAGCCCGACGAGGCGACGTCGACCTTTGAGAGCCAGGTCTTCTTCTTCTCCTTCTTGAGCTTGGTAGAGGCAAACAGCTTGGCCCGCTCCCGCTGCCTGGCGGCCTCCTCGGCCTCCTCTGCCGCCATCCGAGCCTTTTCCGCCTCCCAGAACGGATCCTTCCGCTCTTCACCTCCGCCATTACCGCTTCCACCAGCCATCGCCCCTGTCCCGCCAGCCATCGCCCCTATACCGCCTGCTGCGCCTTGTCCACCACCACCACCACCGCCGCCGCCGCCGCCGCCGGCTGAGCCTCCGCCAGCCGGCGTGCCGACAAGCCCGAGCGACGGGGTGCCTGCAGCCATACGCATGGAGGCCATATGTATGTATGTTTGTATGTGTGTGTGTGTGTGTGTGTGTGTGTGTGTCCCTTCCCCGTGGGGTGGTGGTTGTCGGGGTGGGCGTGAGGTGGGGGGACCGTTGGCAGGCGAAGGAGAGGCTTGGGACAGAGGAGGGAGGGGGGGCTGATCAGAAGATGGGGATGGGCATGTGACGGTGTAAGGGAGGTGATGATTGGGTGATTGGGTGATCGGTGTATGTCTATGTGTGTGCATGTGTATGTGTATGTGTATGTATATGTATGTGTATGTGTATGTGTATGTGTGTGTGAATGTGTGTATGTGTGTGGTCTGATCCCCCCTCCCCCCCTCCCCCCCCATCCTCCCCTTCCACCTTCTCATCTCCATCTCCCGCCTTCCCCCCGATCCCCCCCCTCCCCCTCCGATCCCCATCCACCCATCCCCCCCCCCACTCCCGATCCCCTCCCCCCCCCCTGGTAACCCACCCCTGATCCCCGTCCCCTGGTACCCCACCCCACCCCACTCCAGCTGATCCCCCTCCCCTTCCTCCCCCACCCCCCCCGTCCCCGCGACCGCCCACACCTCACTCCCGCGCAACACCATGGTCGAACTGAGCAAAGGGGCCGCAGGGAAGATTGTTTGCCATGCCAGACAGCATGTTACCCGTGCTGTCGTTGGCCTCCTCCTGGGCCAGCCCGGCTCGGACGCCGTCACTGACGTTGTCCCCCTCGCCCACACCCTCCTGGCTCTGACGGCGGTGGAGGAGGCGGCGCTGAACATGGTACGCATGGCGGCAGAGGGGAGGGGAGAAGGGAGGGGGGGGGATGGTGACTGACGGTGGGCATGATGATGCTGATGCTGATGATGACGATGACGATGACGATGACGATGACGATGACGATGACGATGACGATGACGACGATGCTCCTCGTGCTCGCCCTGCTCCTCGTGCTCGCCCTGCTCCTCATGCTGCTCGCATTCTTCCTCAACTTCCTCTTACTGATGCTAATGCCGATCACCCCTCGGCTGATGGCCATGGCAATGCTCACCCTGCACTTGCCTCTGACAACAGATCGAGGCCCACGCTGCAAGCCAGGACCTCGCCATTGTTGGCGTCTACTACGGCAACGCCCGCCAGGACGACTGCTCCGTCCCGCCGGCGGTCCTCGCGCTGTCGTCGGCTGTCGGCGGGTGCATCGTGGCGGTCGACGGGCCGGCGTTCGGACCCTTTGCCGCCGCCGTCGCCGACCACATTCCGCTCCGCGCTGTTGAGGCTCCGGTCGGCAGCGCCGGCTCAGGTGCCGCCGACGGCGCCCACGCCTCGCTTCCGGCCTCAGGCCTCCCGCTTGCCGACACTACCCCGCTCGCCCTCACCATCGACGGCGTCGACGTCCCTTCACCCTCGGCCACCAACGCCGCTGCCGCTGCCGCTGCCGCCGCGTCCGAGTCTGCACCGGCCGCCCTCGCGCCCACCGTCGCCCTTCTCCGTGCCGGCCTCGCCGGCCTCACCGACGGCACCGTCTCCATCGCCGACTACGACGACCACATGGACTCGCTCGTCCATGACTGGCGCAACCCTTCGTTTGATGCCTTTGTCCTCACCCACAAGTAACCACACAATCCCAGCCAGCCTCCCCCTCCTCCTTCCACCACCATCATGCGAGCATATCAACTCGGCCACAACTGCACCTCCCCGTCGATAGCCCTGTGCGCGCCCCTGCAGCAACAAGAGGACGACACTCTTCCGATCGTGTTGAGCCTCAGTACGACACTGATGGGGGGCCGTATGAGTGAAGAAACGACGAGGTTCATCAGACAAGTTAAAGGAAGATAATATCCAGAACGGGTCACGATGCCCCAAAACAGACCGTCAGAGATCGGTAGCTTGCATCCTCCCCCCCCTCCCCGCCTCCCCGCCCTCCCCGCCTCCCCGCCTCCCCGCCTCCCCGCCCTCCCCGCCTCCCCGCCTCCCCGCCTCCCCACCCGCTGCCAACCAACCGTCGTTCGCCCAAACCATTTCCCCCGCCACTTCCTCTCGCCAACCGCCACACCCCACCCACCGCCACCACCGCCACCACCGCCACTCCCCACTACCCCCCACGCCCACCCCCTAACCCCTCCCACCACACCTACCACTATGCCACTGACCTTTGCCCCCTCTGCCCGGTCTTCGTCCTCGTCCAGCCACCACCGCCGAGCACGACTGAGCCCAGCCCGCCCGGCGCCGGCCACGCCCACTCCGCTGCGCAAGACAACGTCCGGCGGGAGACGACGGGGTGGCGGCGGGAGGAGTCTCGCACTCGACGGACCGACACATGCTCCGCCATCGTCATCGGCTTCGGCTACTCGTGGTCCGGGAACAGGACTGGCTGCCGGTGACGGAGTCCGTGCCATGCCTGCCAGGGCCGAGGCAAACCACGGCGACGCCTTTCCCATCGCTGTTGCGCCCGATGAGGTTGTCTTTCCCGACGTGGCGCCAGACACGCTGTATATCTTCAATCTCCGACTTCAGAACGTCGGCCCGGACACCGTCCGAGTCTGCCTCGCGCCACCTGCATCGGCAAAGTTCTCCTTTGCCGACGGCGCCGTCACCTCGTTCTCTCTCGCTCCGGGTCTCTCGCACTACCTTGATCTGCAGTTCCGAGCCGAGGAGACAACCGCCGACGTTCACGACGCGGTGCGGGTCTCGCTTGCCTGCGGCGACGCCCTCATCCCAGTCCGTGCCCTCATTCCACGCCCGGTGCTGGGCCTCTCGGCGCTGGCGGTCGACTTTGGCACCCTCCCGCCGGCGGTGCCGGCGACAAGAACCGTGACGCTCACCAACAGCGGCGCCATGGACGGCCAGTTCCGACTCGCGTTGCCCGAGCCAGGCACGCCCGACGCCGAAGCCGCGCAGCCGTTCTCCATCACGCCGTCGCGCGGCGTCGTCTCGGCCGGCGGCTCGCTCGCGCTCCGAGTTGCTTTCAAGGGTCCTTCGGTTGGCGTCTTCCGCGCCGTCCTTCCTCTCCACTGCATCGACCCGGGTTCGCGCCTTCCGGTCGTCTCCTCGCTCGAGGTCACCGCATCGGTCGTCAAGCAGGCGCTCACGCTCTACACCGCCAACGGCGCTGCTGTCCTCGACGTTGTCGACTTTGGCGCCATGTACTACGGCCAGTCTCGCGTCGTCTCGGGCCTGCTCACTAACAACGGCCCGCTCCCGGTCTCGTTTGCAGTCATCTTTGGCAAGGATCGCGGCGGCGCGACGTCGGTCATGACTACCGCGTCGGACCTCGTCAAGCACGGTGGCGCTCGCGCAGGCCTCACCGAGTCTGCGCAGGACGCCGAGAAGTTCATCATGACTCTCGAGCCATCGCGCGGCACCCTCGCGCCGGGCCAATCGCTCACCATGACATGCACCTTTGCGCCGCCGGCCACCGGCGCCACTGCCGCCGCCGGCGCCTCGCTCGCCGCAGACGCTCCCTCACCCTCGCTCTACTTCAAAGTTCCGTACTTTATCGAAATGGTCGAGACTGGCGCCAAGACCAAGGTAACGCTCAAGGGCGAGGCCCATGTTCCGTCGCTCGCTTTCTCGGCCACCATCTTTCAGTTTGGCCCGTGCCCCATCAACTCACACCTCGACATGGAGTTTACCGTCAAGAACACCAACGAGGAGCTGCCGGCAACCGTCGCTTTTGGCAAGCTTGCCCACTTTGCCGTCTCGGCCCGCAAGCTCACCCTCCTCCCGCTCCAGACCAAGTCGCTCCTCCTCCGCTTTGCGCCCAAGCAGTATGGCGAGTTCTCCGGCTTGCTCACGATCCGTGCTTGCGCGGGCACCTACTCCCGCACGCTCAGCGTCTCAGGCCTTTGCACCACTGCGGCACGGCTCCCGCCAGCGCTTGCCGCGCTCCCGCCGTCCGCCCCACATCTGGTCCATCCCGACGACTACGCCCGCGCGCTCAACCGCCAGCCTTCGGCCTCGTCGCGGCGCACCAAGCCCGCGCCGCCGCCGTCGGCGCTTGTCGACAAGCGCTTCTCTTACGACGAGGCTACCGCGGCGCGCATCGCAGCCGCAAAGTCCACCTACAACGGGTACCTCAAGGAGTCGGCCGCCGCCCGCGTCGCCGCCACCAAAGCTCGTGACCGCAGGCGCTCGGTTGACTTTCTCAACGGCGTCGACCTTGGCATGGTGCCCGGCTCGGGCCTCGAGGAGCCGCAACTGGCGCTCCCGCCAGCCCGCGAGAAGCTGTACCTCGAGCACGTGCCTGGCGACTCGGACGCTGTCTCATACCTCAAGAACCTCAAGCTGCACTCGGGCGATGAGTTCATTGCCACCAAGTTCCCTGCCGAAGCTGCCCACCCGGCGCAGAAGAAGGAGTGCACCTCGGTACTCTCCACCGCCGAGCTCCGCGACATTGTCCGCGGCCCGGCGTTTATCGATTTTGGCACCGTCTCGGTCTTCTCGGCCAACGCCAAGAGCTTCAACGTGACCAACAACCTCGACCAGGCCGTCTCGGTTGCAGTCTTTGCCACCGAGCATGAGGAGTTGTCGGCGTCGACCGCCAAGCCGCAGGTCATCCCGCCAGGTGCCACCGCGGGCTTTGACATCCGCTACACCTCGCTCGTCCCGCAAAAGTTCAACCGTATGATTCAGTACATGGTCAACGGCCACCATGCGTTCTCGTTCTCGGTCAAGGCCGAGTCTATTGCCACTCGCCTCGCGCTCTCGCATTCGTTCCTCGAGTTTCACTTTCCGCCCGACGTCATCGAGCCGCGCGTCACCGAGGTCATCACCATGACCAACCCGGGCAACGCCCCGGCCGAGTTCCGTTGGACGCCGGTCAACACCATCGAGTCGTCTTCACCTGTCTTTGACATTGTCCCTCTCACTGGCGCCGTCCCGCCGGCTTCGTCGCTCAACTGCCACATCACGTACACGCCCGATGCCTCGCCCGAGGACGTCACCATCTTCAAGCTTTCGGTCAAGGGCGGCTCAGAGCTCTCGCTCACCTGCCGCGGCGCCATCGGGGTTGGCAAGGCGAGCTTCTCGACCGACGCCGTCGACTTTGGCGTTGTCTCGGTCGGAATGGTCGACGAGGCCACCGTTTATCTGCTCAACGTCGGCCGGCACGACGTCTTCTACACTCTCGACTCGCTCGCCTCGGCTGGCGACTCGTTCGGCGACCTCATGATCACCTCGCCCACCTCGGGTCGCATCCCGGTCGGCAGTCGAGCAAAGGTCACCGTCTCGTTTGCACCGACCCAGCCGCAGGACTTGCGGACCCGGCTCTCGGCCGCCATCCGCGGCGCAGGTCGGGTCTCACTCGTCATCTCGGCCTCGGCCGAAGTGCCCTCGCTCTCCATCGAGGAGCCGGCCTTTGACTTTGGACAGGTCTACATCGGCGCCACTACCCGCCTCCCGGTCACACTCGCCAACACCGGCCGCATTCCGGCCTCGTGCTACCTCGACCTCTCCGAGGAGCCCGAGTTCACCGTCGACATCCCGGCCGAGTACGTCGACATGCTCGACGCCACCGGCGATGCCCCGATCATGATGGTGGCAGACATTGCCGGCCCTGCAGGCTCGGTCTTTGATCAGGAGACGCTCGCCAACACCATCGGCGCCCTCGCCTCCAACATATACAAGCTCACGCTCGAGCCCGGCACCAAGCTCTCATTTGAGCTCGTCTTTAGGCCCATCGACCCGTTCGAGCTCGCCTTTCAGCTCCCTTTGCGCATGATCTCCATCGAAGATGCTGGCGACCTGCGTCGGGTTGTCACCGCCACCGCTCTCCGTGCCCCACTCGACGTCTCAGAGACTAACTATGACTTTGGCGAGGTGGTTATCCTCAAGCCCGGTGCCCTTCCGTACACTCACACCCTCGTCCTTACCAACCAGGACTCGCGTGGCTTCCGCTGGTCGTTCGAGTTGAGTCACGACCTGCTCGCTGACGATACCTTTGTCCTCGAGCCGACCGAGGGCCACCTCAACCCGGGCCAGCGGGCCTCGGTGCGGGTATCCTTCACCCCACTCGCCTCGACCGCCTACCTCCTCACCCTGCCCATCACCATCGACGGCGGCGAGGCCGGCCTCCGCACCATGACCATCACCACCCGTGGCCGCGGCGTCTACCCAAACCTCACCTTTTTGCCCGCCACCCTTCACCTCCCGGTCGTCCCGCTCGGCTTTACCTCGCGGGCCTCGGTCACCATCTCGGGCCAGGGCTACGACGCGCTCGACTTGGTCTACGAGCTCCCGCTCGACTCGCGCTCGCTTCCATTGGCGGTTGAGTTTCCTGGCGCCACAGCTCTGACCCGCGACGCGTCGTCGACCACCATCGAGGTCACGTTTTCGGCGTCGTCGGCTATGGCCTTTGCCACCACCATCGACTTTATCGACTCGGATGGCGTCCGCTTCCCACTTCACGTCACTGGCATCACCGACAACTGCTTCCTCACACTCTTCCCGTTTGTGGCACCGGTCCGCAGTGACTTTGCCTTTGTCGAGGGCTCTGCCGCCTCCCCGCCGCGCCCACCCCTGTCGCGATCCGGCCGCTCGTCTACCGGCGACTCGGCGCCGCTCTCGCCCGGCCCAGCCTCGGTTCTTCCGCTCGACCTTCAGCAGCCGCTCGAGCTCGGTGGCTCCGAAGGCGCAGCCGGCAAGACCATCTACCTCCGGCTCGCCACGCTCACCGACCGACAGGTCTTTGAAAACCGCATGGCGCTCCTCCCGCAGTATCTCTCGCGCTCGGCCTCGATCCTAGAGTCGGGCCGGGTTGGTCTCTCTGGCGGCGGCGGGTCGGGCCTCGTCATGGCCGGCGGACCAGCATCTGGCGGCCCTGTCGTCTCGTTCCAGCTCGACGACCGCGGCTCGCCGGACGGCCGCGGCTCGTCGTTGGCCGATGTTGAGGGTGTCGACTCGCCGCTCGGCGCCCTGCTGCGACAGGCCGCTGACGTGATCTGCACCTGGCTCTCGGCGCGGATTCTTCCGCTGCCCATCAAGAACTTTCCCGACGACGCTGTCCGCGAAGACGGTCGACCCATTGCCGCCGCCTTTAAGGCGTTGACCGGGAAAAAGCTGCCCGGACGGGTTGGCAAGCGCTCGGCAGCCAACAAGGTTGACTATGCGCACAAGCTCTTCCGGCAGTATGCTAACCTGACAAGGATCATCCGCGCTGCTGGCGGTCTCCTTACCCAGGTCGAGCCAGAAGACTTTCTCACCCTCGCCGAGTGCGACCGGGTGCGGACGGCAGCGCTCAAGAAGGCGGATCCGGAGATCTCGCAGGAGACCATTTACGCCGAGCGCGACTTGCTGGAGCGGGCTTATCCGTTCCGCTCGCTTGCGGCGTGGACCTACACCACACTGCAGATGATCCGCTGCTACGTCCTCCCGCGCGTCACCCTTGACTCCTGGGTCGAGCGCATAGTCGCTCTCCAGTCGCCACCCACCGATCTTGCCTACATGGCAGACCTCACCGACGACGAGGCCCTCGAGTTTGGCCTTCCTGCTTCAAGCCGCAAGGCCACGAAGAGGGGAAGGAGCGCGGCTCCCACGGGTCGTCGCGACGGCCCGCCTGAGCCGAGCAAGCCCGGGCAGAAGGCTCGCAAAGCTGGGCGGGCGGGTAGGCGGGGACCTGGCCGCAGTGGCCGTCGCAGCGGCGTCACACCCGGCGGCGGAAGCAGCGGCGGAGGCAGCGGGGCACCGACCGGACCATCGTACAATGGTGTGCCGTACGCAACGGTCCTCGCATCGCGTAAGCTAACCGAAGCCTCGCTCGATGCATCGAACGTGTACTCGCGGTCAGAGATGCTCCTCCTCGAGTGGGCGTCAGTCTGTTACGAGTTGGTGTACCCGACATCTGCGCGACCGCTGCTCAACTTTGACATTGACTTTGCCGACGGCGTGGTGCTCGCCGCCATTCTGGTGGTGTACATTCCGCAGCTCTCGTCGTCGTGGCTCTCGTCGATTTATCAGGAGACCGGGACGAGCCACCACATCGAGTCGAACGCGGAAAAGGTGCTGAACGCGTTCCGCGAGGCCTCACTCGATTTCCCGCTCGACGAAGGCGACATTGTGGCGCCGGATCCGATCAACATCATGCTCCTCCTTGCGTACCTGTACGAGGTCCTACCGGCGTACCAGCCGCTGGCCAAGATCAAGTTTTCAGGCGCGTTGCACGAGGAGCTTTCCAAGGCAGTCGTGCTCCGCAATCCATCGTCGACGGCGGCGATCATCTACTCGATCTGGCTCACGGGCTCGTCCGACTTTTACGTCAAGCAGTCGTCGATCCGGCTTGAGCCGAGCGAGACTGCCTCGCTCCCGGTCTTTTTCGAGTCTAAGTTCTCCGCAGTTCGGCGCGGCAGGCTCACACTCATTGCCAAAAAGGCAGGCGCGGCACAGGGTTCGATTTTGGCCTTTGAACTCGAGTCGGACATCAACGACCTCAAGCCGGTCGAGGTCATGTACGTCACGTCGCGGTGCTACGAGAACGAGACGGTCAAGATCACGTTTGAGAACACATCGCCGTTCAACGCGCAGTTTGCGCTTAGTCTCAGCCAGTCGATGGTGACTCCGATCCTGCGGCCCGAGTCGGAGGCTGCGCGGGCGCCGAGCCGATCGCCGGTCCCAGCATCAGCGGTGCCTGCCGCAGACGTGGATGCATACCTAGCCGACATTGACGTCCTTCGGTCGTCCGCAGCCGGTTCGCAGGTAGGCGGCGGTGGCGGCGGCGGCGTTGCTAGTGCGCTCGAGCGCAACGACGTGTCGGGTGTACTCGGCTTTCCGGCGGATCCGTTCTGGTGCCGGCTGGCAGCCGAGCTGGCCGGCGTGGGCGTGCTCGAGCTCGCGCCTTCGGAGAAGGTGACGATTCCGATCGAGTTCCTCCCGTTCCTGGAGGGCGAGTACGTGTGCCGACTGCAGTTTGTAGACGAACGAGCCGGCGAGTTTGTGTACGAGGTGCGCGGGCGGGCAATGCTGCCGCAGCCGATTGATGTGCGGCGATGGAGCACGCAGGTCAAGACACCGCTCTCAAAGACTTTTGTGGTTCACGAGAAGAACCCGGGGCTTGAACGGGCCAAGGGCGTGGTACTGGAGCGACTGCGGCTGGTTGGATCTGACATGAACGTGCTGCGCGCTGTGACAATGGCGATGCGGGCACCGATGCCGCGCCGGCAATACGCGGTGACGTATGTGATGCCCAAGGTGAAGGGCGCAGAGCGTGCACTGGCGGGCCCGGACGTGGTTTGGGTTGACTCGAGCGGGAGTGGGGCGAGCGGGCGGAACTCGGACGGCGGCATGGGCCTTGGCGAGTCACTGACACTTGTGTACGCGCCTACGGAGCAGGGTATCATCCGCGCGCGGCTGCTGCTGCGGTCGATGTTTGACGTGCGGGTCTACGATTTCGAGGGCAGCGCGACAGCGCCCCCAGAGCGAGCAAGTCTGCAGCTTTCGACACCTGCGCGGACGACGCTTGTGCAGCCAATTCCGCTTGTGCGGAACGAGGGTGACAACCCGATCAACGTGCGGGCTGTGCTCTCCGGACCGCACTTTCGTGGACCGACGATGGTGGTTATTCCTGCGGGCGAGGCAGCCGAGTACGAGCTCACGTTCTCACCGCCGGTCGAGTGCGCGGTGTCGGGCAAGCTTGTGCTGACCAACACCGAGACCTCGCTGTCGTCGATCTACATGCTGGAGGGCGAGGGCACGTCGCCGCTGGCCGAAGATCATCTTGTGGTACAGGTCCAGGCCCGCAAGACGACGGGTGTCTCGTTCCCGCTGGCCAACACAATGTCGCGGAGCTCGATCAGTGTCACCGCTGAGACTGACCTCGCATTCGCGAGCGGACCGGCGAGTGTGTCGCTCGAGCCGGGCGCGAGAACGCAGTACGAGCTGGTCATTGCGCCGACGCGGTCGGGCAAGACGCTCGGACAGGTGACGTTCAGCTACCCGGACGGGTCGTATGTGTGGTACACCATCGAAGTGGAGGCTTCGCCGCCCGACTGTGAGGGCTTGCTGGAAGCGTCTGCAGAGTTGCGGAGCCGGACGACGCTCCGGGTCCAGCTGAAGAACGTGCTTGGACAAGATGCGACGTTCAGCGTGACGTACAAGGGCCACGGGCTCTCGGGTCCGAGCGAGTTCCGGGTGGGCGCTCAGAGCAAGGGAGAGTACCTGCTCCAGTTTGTGCCGCTGAAAGAGGGCAAGCATGCCGGAGAAGTGACGTTCACGCACGAGGAGCTCGGCGAGTACACGTACGTGTTGGAGCTGGAGGGTAAGCCAGTGAAGGCGGTGGCGCTCGAGCCGCTGTCGTGCGAGGTAGGCAAGGTGGCACGGACGTCGCTGACTCTGAGGTCGCCGCTACGTGTGCAGGTCATGCTCATGATATCCAACTCGAACCCACACAACTTCCGGCTCGAGCCGGAGATGGTGGTGCTGAGCCCTCTGACGCCAACGCAGGTGTACGTCGAGTACCATCCGTCTGCGATCGGGCAGGCGCAGACTGCGACGATCAAGCTCTCCCACCCGGAGACTGGCTCGTGGGTGTTTGAGGCAAGGGGGACCGGGTCGCCCCCAACCAAGATGGACGCTGTGACGGTGACTGAGCGAATCCGGTTCCACAACTCGTCGCAGCTCAACTTTGTCAATCCGTTTGAGCACGAGCTGCGCGTGAGCGTGGCGCTTGTGACGCCCGAAGATGTGGCAGCGGCAGAAGTAGCGGCGTCGGCGGCGGCGGCGCGGGCCGCTGCCGAAGCCGCGGAGCGGGAGGCGCTCAACTCTGCCGGGTCTGCGGTGCGAATGCTTGCCGGCCGAGGTGGGACGCGTGCGGCGCAGCGGCAGGCGTCACTGCGGAGCCGGGCTGGGACATCGCTGACGGTCCGGGCCGGGACATCGCTCTCGCGAGTCGGGTCGTCCATGTCGCTCCTGCGTGGGACCGGGAGCGCGCGCGGGTCGGACCATGGCGGCGCGAGCGAGTCTGAGCCGAGCGGCGACGAAGTGGCCGGAGCAAGCAAGCGGGTTTGGGCGTTGCCACAGCCGGGCAACTTTACGCTCCCCGGCTTTGGGGTCCTCCGGATCCCGTACACCTTTTCGCCGACGGAGATGCGGACGTACGAGGCCGAGCTTGTGGTGCGTGCCGAGCCCAAGACTCGAGGAGAGGCCGGCGGCAAGCCGATCGAGTGGGTGTACCCGCTGCGCGGGATTGCCGAGGCGCCTGTGGCGTCCGAGGTGTACGAGCTCCGTGCACGATCACGGGAGAAGGCAGATGAGATCTTTGACTTTTACGCGACCGGCCTGGGAGCGTTTGACGGGCTCGAGTCGTTCTGGCACGTGCTCAATGTGCCTGTGGAGCACGAGGCGGCGGTCCGGGCGTCGCTCACGGTCACGCCTGTGGTGAACACGCTGCGGCGGTCGACAGAGCCGCTGCGGTTCCGGTTCGAGTTTGAGCCGTCGCTACCGTTTGAGACTGACGTGCAGTTCCTTGTTCACAAGAAGAGCGGCGGGCTGTGGCGGTACACGCTGCACCTGACCGCGGACGAGCCGGACGTGGACGACGTGTTCTCAATGGATGCTATTCTGCACAAGACAACGGCGATTGCGTTCCGCCAGGCCAACTACACGGCGGCCGAGTCTGCGCCGTTTACAGCGTATTTTACGCCCGAGTCGTCGTTTGACTTTACGGTGGAGCCGTCGGAGGGTGAGCTGCCTCCAGCGTCAGGCGAGAACGCCGGTGGTGAGGGCGGACAGCGGTTTGTGGTCTACTGCCAGCCATCCTCCTACGGGAGGGTCCAGCGTGGGTGGCTAGTCATCAAGACCGCAGCGTATCAGTGGACGTACGAGATCAACGGGCAGCCGCCCGAGTACGTCCCTCCGTCCGACTCGACGCGGCGAGTCCCGCTCGACAACAAGATCTCGCCGCAAATGCGAAAGTCTCTGCTCGCGCGCAAGTCGCAGAAGAAGAACTTTATGCGTGCCAATGTGGCGCGGATCCGCGGACTCGCCTCGGCCAACGAGGCGCAGGCGCGCGAAGAGCGTGCGCGCGAGGCTCGCGAAGAGCGGCGGCGCGAGGCTGCGCGGGCGCGGACGGCCGAGGTTGCGTTCGGCGCGCCGGAGTCGCGGCGGGCTTGAGCGGCGGCGGCGTGCGCAGCGCAAGTAAAACATCAGAAAAGTACAGCTGAACCTTCGGTCGCTGACATCATTTACGGTGACGAGGAGGAGTGGACATGGCAACGGCCATCACATGATGGCGCACCACCAGTCGGCGTCCTCGCGGGCAGCGCGGAGGCTCTTGGCGCGCTTGGCGGCAGGGGCGCCCGCGTCGTCGTCGGTGGTAGCAGCGGTGGCGTCGGAGGAGGAGCGCTTGCGCTTGCGCGAGGCCGGTGCCGAGGCGGCAGCAACCGAGTCGGCGTCGTCGCCAGCCTCGACGACCTTGACCTTCTTCCACTCGTCCTGAGAGTGGTCAGTGCCGACGTAGTGGATGAGAGAGTACCACTCGCCCTTGTCCTCCTTGGTGGCGAGAATCTGGATCTCGCGCTCGTCAACGACCGAGGCGCGCGGCGAGACCGAGCGCGACTTTGTGGAGCGCTTGGCCTTGCGGCGCGACGACTTGGGCTTGGCCTCGTCGTCCGCGTCATCAGCAGCAGAATCGGCATCGGCAGCCGACTTCTTGGCCCCGCGGCGCGTGGTCGCCTTTGCACCCGGCGACTTTTTCTTTGATGCCGGCGTCTTCTTCTTGGACTTTGCGGCAGTGGCCTTTGTCGAGCTCTTTGTCGCGCTGGCGGCCTTTGAGCTCGTTGCCTTTTTCCCAGCCACCGTCTTCTTGCTCGCCGACGTCTTCTTGCCCGCACCTGCCTTTCCGGCCTTTGTCGACTTCTTCTTGCTCTTGCTCGTCTTTGTCTTCTTAGGTGAGGCAGGCGGCGGCGAGGCAGCAGGAGAGGCCGCCGTCGTTGACCGCGATGACCGTGTTGTCCGACTCGAAGTGCGGGTCGAGGGCATGACTGCAGCAGAGGTGAGTTGGGTGGGGGAGGGGGGAG